ATGGATGGATGGTGGATAGATGGATGGACACATGGTGGATGGATGATAATGGAATTGATGGGTGGGTGATGGATGGATGGTTGGATGGATGGACGGACAGATGGATGGATGGATGGACGGACAGATGGATGGACAGATGGATGGACAGATGGATGGATGGATGGATGGTGGATAGATGGATGGACAGATGGATGGATGGATGGATGGATGGTGGACAGATGGATGGATGGATGGATGGTGGATAGATTGATGGACAGATGGATGGATGGATGGATGGATAGATGGATGAAGGAAGGATTTCCTTAATTCTTTAAAATCTTAATGAGCTAGCTTAATCATCTTAGCTGTTTTGGAGCTTTATCATAGTTACAGACTGATTGACTTTGGTCTTTTTACGATGATCTTAATTAGCTTTTGTCTTTTAGGTTATGTTAGCATAGTTTAACCTTCTTAATTAGATGACCTTTGCTTAGCCTTGGTTTTTGCTGTGTTAAATTAACTTAGCTTGCTTTAGTGAACCCATGTAACCTTACATCAGCTTAACTTTTTCTGGCCCATTTTGCCCTCATGTAGCATACTGCCTGGTTTAGCGTATCATTGGTTTAATTAGCCCAGTTTAGCCTATCTAAGCTTAGCTTTGCTAGGCTCAGTTCTTTCGTCCATATTTGATGGTAGTTTATTTGAGTTATTAGGTTATGCTGCCTCTGTTTAGTCCAGTCTTCCTACTTTACTTCGGTTTATACTATCTTCCATTAGCTTTGTTTTAGCCATTCACTAGCCAACCTTAGTCTCTTTGGGCAGACAGAGCCTGACTGACTTGTATGACTATTTTAAGCAGTCATAGAAAGTCTTGGTCAAAGGAGGCAGATTATAACCAGATTAGGATTGAACTTTAGACCCATATCAGTATTTTCTCTGTGCACATCTGTCAGGTTCAGATCTTCAACCCAGCATTCTTCAAATACATCCATGATCACTGGACCAGACATCATGGCCGATACCCTTCCACCGGCATGCTGGTCCTTTTTTTTGCTCTTCACGTCTGCGATGAGGTCAGTTTCCCCCTCTTCCCCTTACAGTAAACAAGCTGTCACCGCTTTCATTCAGAATTTCTAGTCTGATCCTAGTTCTACCTTCCAGGTCAATGTTTTCGGCTTTGGCGCCGACAGCCGTGGAAACTGGCACCACTATTGGGAGCAGAACCGATATTCTGGTGAATTCAGGAAGACCGGGGTCCACGACGCCGACCACGAAGCTCAGATCATCCAGCAGCTAGCCAAGGCCGGAAAGATCAAAGTATTCCCAGGGAAATGACCGGAAGAATGATCCTGCTGGTCTCAGGTTTAGGAAGCTGATCAGTTTGGATGAGTTAACTGAGCCAGATTACATTTCTACTGATTGCCGCATGAGCTGAAACAGGATCAGGAAGATTTTTCCTTTGGGGGTGGAGCCTCCGGTCGGACGGTCAGCTTGATTGGCTGCTTCACGGCTAAACGGAGGAAAACAGGGAATGACATCTGAACAGCAGGGTCAAATAGAAAAACTGGATCAGCTTCATCAAAGCATCTCTGTTGGTGGATCCAGTGATGTTCATTCCATAGAGGGTTATTTAATCCTCGTATCGTGATACAATTTAACACCCATGGCCCCGATTCTGCACCTCGGACACCGTTGTGTGACTTTATCATCCAGCAATGTGGGAATATTTTGCTGACAAAGAGCCGTCCTTTAGAATCAGGATCCCGTCTTTGATTTGCCTTAAATTCTCTTTGAGCTGAAACATCCCCAACATTGCCACAGAGTTCCTCATCTCTTTGAAGCAACTGAACTGACTGCTCGTTAATCCGCTCATAATCATCATCACATAAAGACGCTTCCAGATCCTCAGAAACGGCGTCAGGATTTTAGGCTTTCAGACGACATGAGCCTCCAGTTCTGGTCCTTCGGCGTCTTTATTCCCATGGAGACAGAGAGGAGGAGGCCGTCATGGCTGGATCCAGCTAAACTGCTCCATCGGGGACTCAAATGTTGCTTTAGTGTTGCTCGTACGTAGAGGCGAGCTATGTAGGCCCAACTGGTCTGAGCAGAGAGCTTCAGACCAGATGGCGGCTGAAGAAAACCCCTCGCCTTCACTGACCAGTCCTGGCTCAGCCAATCTGGACGTAAGCTCAGTCTGGAGGCAAAGCCAGCCTACGCCTTAAGGCTGATTTATACTCAGAAACCAGGTCGTCTGCGTGTGTCGCAGTGAACGCAGATATGCCCCGCCCCTTCCACAGACACTCTGCTGCACCTCTCCAAAATTGTAGGTGACCGCAGAGAGGAGGCTTCTGATTGGTCAAATCTACTCTACGCTATGCGTATTTTCTGTTTGGTAGTTTTTGTGACCGCCATTGTGGAAAACGGCTAGAAGAGCGAGGTGCGAGAGAACGCTGGGACCATTTTTCCACCTGGATCCCCGCTCTTTTTTGCCCTCATCTCCCTCGGTTGTCGCACAAACTTGCCCCCAATTCCTCACCGCCTCAGCCGTATCTAGACCCACAGCTAGTTCCTGATTGTCCCGCTTGCGTTGTGCCGTGGAATAACATAGTACAGACCACGCTTCAATATCGGGCATAAATCAAAAATATCTGCATCATACCTGCAGCAACCTCACTGCGACACACTGCTGTGGGAGTATAACCAGCCTTTTAGCCTTCACCTCTCATGGCACCCCCTCGCAGAGCATCCGCCGCTCTTTTGGTGTCATAGGGTTCGATTTCCTCCTGAATGGATTTTCTCCCTGTTTCTATCATCACTGTGCCGTTTGATACCCATCATCATCGATTTAACGAGTGTCCCAGAATGGCGATCCATAAAAGGATGCAGGAAGAGGAAAGTGTTTTAAAAATTAAAGACAGAATGTTTGGATTGTTCTGGTTTTCTGAAACCTTCAGGTTTGGAAAATAGTTCTTAGAATTTCTGTAAAGTTTCAAATGTGAAAGGAGCCGCTTTGAATAGGAAGCATGAAGTAGCTTTGAGAGTCCGTCTGTTTGGTGACTCGTTTCTGTTTTTCTGTCCTGATGCGTCAGACTCTTCATCCACTCAGACAGATGAACGCTGCTGGGTTGCCATGTTGGATTTTACTGGAACTCCATGTTTTTTCTCCCCAGCAGGTTTTCTCAAGGCTTCATTTTATCCCAACTGAATCTCATCATATTTCGGTCACATGCTTGTTGCCTTGTACTGCAGCGGGACGCCTCTCGCCTGCTTCATCAGAGATGCACACCTGCTACCTTTATGTTATCGTTGATCCTGCACATGTTTGGCTGAGCGCTGTGCCTTCTGAGCTGACTTCAAACTCACCACATGGGAACACTCTGCCTTCCACCTTCGGCTCCACGCAGTTTGTGTCATTAATTACTAATGGAGGTTATGTGAACTCATAATGTGTTGAATTCATATCAGTCTGTTCAGAACTCCTCATTTGGCCTCCTTGTCTTTCCTTCCAGGCAGCCAGACGTTCCTTCAGTCTTTATTCAAGTTTTCCAGGCTTTCAGAAGGAAGCTTCTGGTCTTCAGTTTGGGTTTTACACACAAAGGAAAAGACATAAATACCTAAATTTAGGGGGATGAAGCTGTGTTGTGTTGATATCTAATAGAAAACTTTGGAATTGGATCTTTGTCATTTTTTCATTTATAGATTTTTATTAAACAGGGATATTTCAAAAAATTAAAAAGATTGTGCAACAATAAGTAAAATATAATTGCATACATAAGTTTAGCTGCGTCTGAATTTGATGTCGTATACATCTTAACTAAAATAAATTAAATTTATAGTTTTACTTAGTTATGAAATTGTTTTTTAAAGACAATGTTCTGTCTAAAAACACTTAACAGATTTTTTTTAGCATTTTCAATCATTTCAGGTGAGTTATTTCTTGAGCGACTTTAGATCAACATAACAAGCCTTTCAGCCGGACTTGTTTGGGCTGGGCTGACATTGGATATAGCGGACTTCTCCATTCAAAATGGCTGCCACTTGCATCAACAGTAAAGCCATCTTTGACTCTACTTTCAGCAGTTCTTTGTTTTTCACTGCTTTGCACTGTTAATAAAACCAAACACTTTAATGGTGAAACTTACACCTGGTACGAGTTAATAATGTTTTTGTCACGATGAAACCTTGACCTTAGCTTCTACGAGAGGAAAACTGGAACGCCATCGACTCAGATATTCTCATCCCAGTTCAGGGTTTCCGTGATAGTGGAACCAAACATGAGCCCAGCAAACCGCCAGCAGGGGCGGAGCCAGATAGGGGCCAGGGGTGGCTATGGCCACCCTTAGCCAATCATTGGCCACCCCTGTCATTTGTTTTACTCTAATACAGATGGTGGCAGCAATAATAAATAATACTCTGAAGTGGAATATTCAAAACATTTAAATTTTTGGTGGTTAATTAAACACATCAATATACTAACATCAAAGATAAGTACAGAATTCATGCTATTTTCAGATTTTGTGTTATTTGGGGTAAAGAGAAAAGGATGTCTCTGAAAGTCATCTTCAGTGAAATCATAGATAAATAACAGTTTTAATAAAAACTTATCAAGTAATCATTTTATGTAGATATTAGTGCTTGTAAATATCAATTTTATGCAGAATGTTTGATACAAGTAGGTAAGTAATGACAATGGAATAGATTTACGCCCCAGAACTCAAAACTGAGTTTTATCCACTCTACCTTTTATCTAGAAATTATGTTTAAATATAGGCGTCTATTTGTTAGCAAAGGCTGTAGGAAAGCATAGTTATTCTTTATTTAGAAAATATGGATGTTTTGCTCGTTAATTTTCCTGTTGGAACAGCGTATATTGACCCTGAGGTTCTGGTTCCTATCTGCTTTCGGCCCCCCCTCAGTGTACATTGGTTATTGCCTGGCCACCCTTATAAAAATGGTCTGGCTACGCCTCTGACCGCCAGGCTTTAGCTTTGTTTGGGTAGTTTTAGTTAAGGCTTTCCAGATTAGCTGAACTTGCCCAAACAGGATAGCTTTGGCTAGCTAGTTTCTTTACCCAAATATACCGATATTGACTAAGAGCCAATTCAAGATTTGCTCACTTTATTTCATGAGTTTAAATGAGTTTAACCTACCTAAGGTTTGCACCAAAGATTGGTCTTAATGAGCAGTTCCTAAACACCCCCCCCCCATGCTATCATTTAAAGAATGCCCCCACAAATAGGAAAAGAAAACAACAGTATAACATTGCAAAACATTTTTTTAACAACCTCCTTAAATCCCAAAACTACCAATATAATAGAGTCCTTTTTTTTATTTCCTAATTTACTGATGACAGGACTGCCATCCACACACACACGCCCAGACTCACTATCTTTGTGGGGCCTTTCCATTGACTTCCATGCATTTACATAATCTAATTGTGACCCAGATCCAAACCATTACTGTTTCATAACTAACCTAAACCTAAACTCAATTCTCACCTCAGTCTTAAATGTGACCCCTGACCTAAAACCAGCAATTCCCTGGTGGGCTCCATGCATAGGGCCTCACAAAGTATTAAAGACCAGCACACACGCTGAGCCAACCTAACCTTCCCAAACTCCCCTCAGCATGACTTTAAGCTCTCAGACTGACACCCAGTAAAGGAGGCAGGACCTCCATATTAATCATTCTGGAGAATTATTGATCAGAACCGATCGAAAGTAGTGGAGAAAGGAAATCAAGCATGACTGGAGACTTGGATTTGATCTTTATTATTTTACATCCTAGTGTTGCTACAAACTGAGATGGTTTTATTTCTATCATCAGATTAAAACACAAACACCAGTTTTAAGTCAAGTTTTGCTCTCGCTCAGATTAATGACATGAATCATCTCGGAGTTAAACGTGACCTTCAGACAGCCGATATGAACACCTGAACAGCCTGTGCTTCTTATCAGCTGGAGGCCAGAACATGCTGCTGAGATGATGGAGAGCAGAGGGTCCCTCTGAGGTTCCTCCCTCCCACCAGCGGTTCATGACACACATAGGATTCTCTCACACAGACGACCTAAAGTAGGTCTTCCTCCTGCTGTTGACCCACATTTTCATCCTGCAATGGGGATTCTTCCAGATAAATGAAAGCTGAGCCGCTTCCTGCTGTTAGGGATCGGTCCAGTTTAAACCATTTATTTAGTGTAAACCTTCCATCAGTCAGACTTGGCTCCTGGTACGTTCAAGGCTATTTCTACTCTGCTCCGTTTGTGCCAGACAGTAGGAAGTCTCCATCTGTCTGGGTGGGAAAACCATCCCTTTGACTCGAGTGTGGAAGATGGAGAGTGTTGGAAGAACTTATCCTAAATATTGATTTTACTCATTTTGAACCAAGAGTAGATTTTGTTAAGATTACAATAAAATGTTCTTTTTTAAATTTAATTTATTTCTATGGTGCCAATTCACATCACGTCATCTCAAGGAAATTTACAGTTCGCCAGATCATACTGTCAAACTGATTCAAGGTTTTCTATCTAAGGAAAACCAGTTGATTGCATCCTTCACTCTAAGCATGCTTGTTGCAACAGTGGAGAGGAAAAACTCCCTTTTAACGGGAAAAAACCTCCAGCAGAACCAGGCAATTCTTTTGTTCTTGATTTTAAGACAGGATCTATTATTTTTGCTTTGATTTTTACCTCCAAAAGCAGCCATGCTGTAAACTCACATGAAATGGTTCAGTAACATTAATTAACTTAGAGCTGCAGTGAAGGGGGGCAGCTTGTGATGATCCGAGGAGGTTGCTGGTTCTGATCCACCCTGCCTCTGTACCGCTGCAGGTATAAACCGGGTCAGTTACCAGCAGGAAATCTCCATCTCCTTCAGCTCTGGTTTATGAACCACTCGACCATCAGGGACTCATAAAAGATCCATGAAACTGATCTGCAGCCTCTGCAGTTTGTCACAATTCAGTCATTTTTAAAGACGAACCAGAGTTCAGCCTGGATTTATGGAAAACATGTTCACAAAGTTCCAAACTAGAAAAAAAACAAGAAATGAAACTCCTTAAAAGGTTGATGGAAATAAGAAACAGAAATAAAACCTGGAAAAACAGAAGAAATGAAATAAAAGACATAAAAAATGAGAGGATTGAAGACATAAAGAACAAAGGAAGAAAAGTGTTTTTAGAATTTTAGACCAAAACATTTCAGCCCAAAATAACAAGAACACACAAAACTACACAAGTTATTCACTCTATATTCATTCATCTATGGGGAAATAATTAGAATTATATTAATATATTTAGTAATATCTTCTGACAATTTTGTGTTTTGTAGCATTTTTTTGGTCCATGTTCCAACTAAGGGCCGGATTTATCAAGATCCAATTTTGCGTGCAGTAATTTGCGCTCGCAAACTGGAATTTTGCGCGAGGGGCTGAACCATGGTTTGCGGGTGATTTAACAAGAGCGATTGCGTGACTGGTGGCAGGTGCAAAACTGTTGGAGACGCACTATTTAAATAATGGTTTTGC